ATGGCCATGTAAGAGTTTCTAAAGGTTTCTTAGGCTTGGGACTTTAAGGCCTATCCTATCCTATAGATAGTCATTTAGAGTCTACTATCTATTAGAAATCTAGACTCTAGATCTCTATTACTCTAGAATCTAGAGATCTAGATCTCTAGATCTAGCTAGATATCTAGATTCTAGCTACTCATACTCTCTTTCTTGAATCTTTATTTTCTCAGGCTAGATCTAAAGTGGGACAAGACACTAGATCTAGGCCTCGCACAAGGGTCTAAATCTAGATCTAGACCCACCCAAAGCCAAAGTCCAGAGAAAAATAGTCTGGTGTTCTAAGTCTAAACAGGCGGGCATCATGAAGAACAACAATGTCAATACAGCCGTCTTATTGTGCAACAGTGACAAGGGCATGGAGGAAGAGGTAAATGCAGATGATACTCAAGACAGACGTGGGAAAGGTGACATTGCTGAGAGACTACCTACTGTAGACGAAAGTCCAAGTGGAGCTTCTGCAATGCTTCCTCCATTACCATGTAAGTTATTGCACTCCATTAACATTTGATAATGGAAGAGGCTAGTCGTACTTAATGACGGCTAGACTGGTTGGCTGGACAGCTGGGCTAGTCGTACTTATTCTTAATATGATGGCTAGACTGACCATAAAAGGTATTTTTTTACTTTCCCTCCCGTCTCACACTCAGCTACCAGATGCCTATTTTCTACTAAATATTGATGTGCTGAACACGAATATCAACTTCATTTCCGTCGCAAATTAATAGTTTTTGAAATATTTGATTGTTTTTAACCGAGATAGACATGCTTTGGACCAATCGGGGGGTTCCAGGGGGGCTTGCCCCACTGGGGTAAAAGAAAATCTGGGGGGTTACAGGGGGGTTATTTTACCCATAATTTGATATTTTACAGTTAGATTTGAAATTGTCTTGAAAATAATTGATTTGCGACAGTTTTAGCACTGCTTTATGTGTGATCTGCAGCAAACAGTACAGCAGTTTGACCCCTGAAACAGTGCATCTGTGTGTGGGAGTGAAAGTAAAAATTTACCCCATAAAAAGAAAATAGACCTACTGAATTGTAAATATACATTTTTTTTTTGCAGTACCTAAAGTATTTGTATTTGAGACGAAACCAGGTGCCTTAAAAAATGCAGACCTGCCACTCATCCCGATTTAATCGTATCCCGATTTTTTGCCCCAAATCTCAAGCATCCCTATTTTCCCGATTTTGATCGGCAGTATCCAGATTTTTTGCCCTTGTGTCTGTTGCGTCCGATTCTTAGAAAAAAATAGAAAAAGTTCTGCTTTCTCTTTTGCTTGGAAGGACCGATTGGATTTTTTATCGGCAGGAACTTGGAACGCTACTTTCTAAAGCATCTATATGCCGAATCTAGAAGATGACTCGCGCACGTAACTAAAACCGACGTAGTGTCGATTTTGAATTCCGACATGGATACGCTCAAAGATCTAATTTCGCTTTTATAACCAAGAATTCGCCGATGGTGTCCTGATTACTGTAACAATGACATGGGCCTAAGAATAATTTCCCTGTTCTGCCATTGCTTTAGAAGCAAGCTTTGACTTGAGTTCTGGTTAGTTGGGCCCATCATCAAGACCTGTCAGTGGAACTTTCAAACGCTCATTCGCATCACGTGACATGACCTCGTACGTGTGGTGAGTAGCGCGAGTGTCGGGGACCGTCAGCTTGTCGGGGTCAACAAAGTTCATTCACACCGGTCGCGTTGGTCGAGGTGTTTTCCTGGACTTAACCAGTGTGGACGACCGCGGGGAGTGGGGTGGGGGTATTGTTTTAAGTGCGTGCCGTGATACATGTACTAATTGAGAAAGGAATAAGAAAACAGAGATAAATGAAAAACGTTGACGCGATCTTTTTTTTCGGGGGAAGGGAGGGGGGTGCCTTGAGTGTATATGCGATGGAAGTCAAACGTTGTTACTAAATGAAAACGCGGGCTTTTTGCATGGATGATTAGAGTTATGTGTCAGCTATTTTCAAGACTACGAGAGTTTCAGCTTTACTGCAACCTGCGCTCCTCCAATCTATCCAACTCTGACTCGAGTAATGCTGTCTTTCAGTTTTCCCTCTATTTAGAGGCCCAAACGTGAACTTATTCCTGCAAAAGTTTTCTCTTGCATACTTGCCTCATAAAAGGGAACAGGACCCCTCCTCTTCCCCAATACCCCTTATGACTGATTTGCCGTTGATCCCGCTTTTTTTCATCAGATCCTGATTTTTTTACTTTAAAATCCTGATTTTTAGATTTCATAGAGTGGCAAGTCTGCTTAATGACAGTGCATGTATTTTAAACCTCCTGTTTTCTAATGTTAATAGGGCCTAAGATAAGTACGGCTCGACTTTTTGGCTAGCCGTACTTAAGTACGGGTAGATAGCCAGGCTAGCCGTACTTAAGGACGGCTAGACTGTCAGGCTAGCCGTAATTAATATTGGTGGCTGAATTGTAAATGAAATTTTTAGTTTGCAATGCCTAAAGTATTTGTATTTCCGACAAAACCAAAAGGTGCCTTACTAAACTGACTTGCATGTATTTTGAACCTGAATAATTACTAGGTCTTGATCTAATGAGACCTGTGTACTTAACAGGTTTGACCCTATCGACTACTTAAGTACGACTAGCCACTTCGTTTGATAATACTAATGTACATGTCTGAAATTGAAAGGGTATGCTGCTTTACCAGGTTGTCATTTTGTACATTAATGCCTTCGTGTTTTGATCTCTATGTTTCCTGTTTTTTATAGTTTAAAATAGATCTAAATGTGACAGGTCATGGTGGAATCATGCGCTCTTCATTTTTTGGGCATGGAATTATAGGTGTTTCATCTTAAAGCCTGTCCATTTTCCTTGCTTTTGATGAAAAAAATATCCATTTATCTTGAATACAATTTGAGATATATTGGCAATTATTGGAGGTAGGGGTCGCCTGGTTTGAAGTAAAATTAGTGAGAAAATGGCCACTAAAGTTGAGTTATTTCCTGAGCTTGAGAGTGCATGGAAACTTAAAAATTACATCTTTTATGCCTTTACGTTTTTCCAGTAAAATTCATGCAGAAATGTGTTCTTTATTGGGCATAAAAGGTGTTTCAGAGCCAAAAATTAGATTAAAATTTTGAAACATGCGGGAAAAATGCCAGTTTCTTCACTTTATTTTGAAGATCGCCTGATTTCACCACACTGCCTCACGAATGGTTTTAGTTTTTGTTAATAGAGTGTCAGTATTTCTTTTTTGCTTTTTCCTTGTTCCTCATTCCAGGAGACTCTGTCTGCTGATTGCACCCAATTCCCTGAAATGTGACTCAAGAAACAATTCAGTTATTATTGATGATGAAAAAATTGTCACCTCATCAGTCTTTTTTTTCATTGTCTTAGGCAGTCTTTTTTTGTTTTTTTCAGTGTCTACAAGCATCATTCAATTAACAATGGAACATTTTTAAGGGGATGAAAAAGTGGAGTGTGTACTTTGTCTGAAGGCATGAATAAATTGGAACTTTTTGAAATGTTGGGTTAGAATTTTCTGAAAATTTTCAAAATCTCTTATTCTTGCAAACCATTATTTCATATAAATAGGGCTAGATCTATATTATAATTCTACTCTCGCTCTGCACATGCAGTTAAAAAACATGGTTGACACACAGGAGCCGAGAGTAACGGAGAAACATACTAATTTATAGCAGTGATCTTTACACCAATTTTAACAAAACTTAAAGCAAATAAAATTCAATCAAGGGGGCATTAAATTTGTAAGAATTAAGAAAATCATCACAGGTTTTAAAAATTCAACGAAAATAAAATTGAGTAAACGCAAAGCTTACCACTTTAAAATGAATTCGTGAATTTAATTTTTATTTTTATAAATTCCCTCTTCCCCCATTTAGCGGACCTTGATGACGAAATAAACGATCTGTACAGACTTGTTCCTGAAGTTGGCAATCATTTCACAATTCTGAACAAAATTGGTGAAGGTAAGTTGTCGTGTCCTTTCTGAACTGTTCATACTGGTGGATGGTAATCTTTGATAAGATTGGTTGAAAAAAACGACTCATCATTGCTGACTGGCTATAAGCAGGTAACAACTTGTAAACACTTTCACCAGCCTTCACAACTTGGTATTGGAGGAACGGCACTACTTGCTTTAGAAAGTATGGGTGGTTGACAAGTGCTCTCTTGAGGTTTGCTGCTCCTGCCCTATCAAACTTCTACAATCCGTATCTCTTCTCCTTTTTTGTGTTTGTTACTCTCTTGCAGTACCTCTAATCTCTGGCTCTAATATGACCAATTTGTGTTGCAAGTGCTGTAAAACTCTCTGTAAAGCTAAAAGTAAACTTTAAGCTGTCTGGTTGGGATATTTTAGTCAGTCTGACATGTTACTTCTTCAATCTTGCAGCAAACCTCAGTAAAATTAGTTATAAAACCAATGCTCATTGATCAAATGTATGGTCAGATCAGGTTTGGATGGCACTGGCCAGTGCACACTGTTAAAATAAAAAATGACAGACCTTTACTTTGCAATTTACTTCATTCGGACTGAGAAGTCTGTTAGGGCCTGCATTAACTCTTTCACTACCAAGAGGTTTTCCCCACCGGGACTGGGCCCTATCTGTGACCTACTTTCTCATTCCGCCAACCCTCAGACAAGTTAAAGATTTTTAATTGAATTTTTAGTATTAGCCATATGCATTAAACATGAAAATGTGGGTGGTTGCGGGTGCTCTAGTGCGGTTTGTTTGCCCCTTCTTTCCTATCAAACATCTTGTCTCCCCCCCTTCTTTTTTATGTTTGTTACTCTCTTGTAACACCTCTAATCTTCTGGCGCTCATATGACCTTATGCAGTTGCGAGCGCCCTAAAACCTCTGCTAAAACAAAACAAAACATGAAAATAAAGGGGAAATAATTACCTATCTCAACATGTTGCTAAAAATGATCAATCTTCACCCTGAGATTTCAGTTTCAATTATAACAAAAGTAGGACTGGTTTTGAAGCAGAAAGTGGAGATCTGTGAAACACTGCTTGCCGTCCAGTGTTTTGGGTAACACAAGCCGTGAAACACCTGCATTTATTTCTTTGAGCAGGATTTGGAGGACCAGAGATATCTCATTACGAACAAAGCTTAGAATTTTCAACTCATATATGAAGTCAGTCTTGTTGTATGAATGTGAGACGTGGAACGCATCCCATACGTGCATAAAGAGGATCCAGGTTTTCTTGAACAAGTGTCTGAGGAGGCTGCTGAGGATCATATGGACAGACAGGATCACCAACGAGGAAGTATTAAGAACCTGACAGAGCCCAGTCAAAGATGAGGTGGGAAGAAGACGTTGGCGATGGATTGGACTCACTCTCAGGAAGTCAAGCAGCTGCATAACAAGAAAAGTGTTAGATTGGAACCCACAGGGTAAAAGATCAAGGGGAAGACCTCATGGAACCTGGAGAAGAGTCACGGAAATAGATGTACAGAAAAGTGGGAAGATGTGGAGTGACATCAAGCGACTAGCCCAGGATAGGAAAAGGTGGAGAGTGTTTGTTCGTGACCTATATCCTGACACAGGGTGAGAAAGGCAATGATGATGAAGCCGTGAAACACGGCTCGAGGTAGTGAAAGAGTTAAAGACTTAAACAAAAGTTCTGACCCTGCAATGTCATGAGACACATACACTTGCCTTTTGATTGGCTGTTGGTCACAATTTTCATGAAATCAACCTGACTGACCCAGAATATCAAACATAATTGCTTTTGGCACGGCGCACCGGCAGTGGGATTTTAGTTGCCGCGGGGGTTCTCCGCCTGGCGCCTTATGACGTCGGGGTCACGGGGGTCAGCTCCCTGTCGCCGCTTTGTCTGGGCCGACTTAATTTTTGGTATTTTTCAACGTACAATTTAAGGTGTATCCTTGTATTTATGGTAATTCTCATTTAGTGCCCCCAAAGCGTGCATTTCTGCTCTTGAGACTCAAAAAAGAACGGACGTTGTAATTTGTCTGGTTATTTCGTTAGACGCGCTGGAGTCGGCAATGCTAAATTGTAAATTTTTTTTGGACTAGCGTGAATGAAAAAAAATCAATATAAAAAAGGCCTCGTCAAAATCTGTCAAATTTTTGGAACATGAACAACATAGCATTGGTGCAGATACTCAGAAAAGATGATATTTGCGCATATAATAGAAAGCTGTAATTTTCCAACTTTATCCATCGGACACACAATTAGCTATGAAGTAATTCCTCCAAATACAACTTTATGTGTCTAATATAATCGTGAATATTCGCATATTTTCTCGAAAGTTTATAAAAGTTACCTTGAAGTTTCTCTATGAAAAGTACAAGTCGATTTTAGTGCTAGAATACATCTTCAATGTAGATCTAATACACGAACAGTATCTGTTACACTCCAGAAATTCCTTACTTTTCTTAAAACGCTAAGTCTAGGTTTTGTAAGTTGACTGAATAATAGGGATGACTTCTCGTATTTGGGTTATAAGAATAATTTCTAGCTTTCCAGGGACACTGAATCAGCACCAGACTTTTCCAGCTTTATTTTTCATTTCTATGACCATTTGCAATAACTGACAATGTGACTAATTTCTTTACATTCATAATTGTGTCCGCGCATATTTCCGACACAAAAACTAAGAATGAATGTGTTAGCTGTCATTATTTTTATTCCATACAAGAAGTTTATCTCTACCCATGTATTTACACGGTTTTGTGGGTTTTTTTGATCGCTTAGATTCTATATTATTCTTTTTAGTTGTATGCAGGCTGCCAAAGACACAGCATGATTCATGAACAAACGCAGAGTAACTTTCTCTTGTTTAATAGTAAAATAAGAGCTAACGCTGATCGTCTTTAGTTTAAAAATGCAGATGTGCATCTTCTCTTATAACTTGACTATTTCTAATCGCGCAAATTAAAAATTTCTCATGGTAAAAGACATGATATTCGTAGTCAGTTTAACACAGATTTTGGAGGGATTTGTCGTGCCTTTTTAAAATTAACAATCATTTATTTATAAGTTTGTAACTAAAATAGGACAAATTGGGTACTCTACAAACACTTGTCTAGAACAAAAACTAAGGCACAGAAATTAACCATTCTAGCGCAGAATAAATCTCAAAACATTGAGCTTTTAGTACATCTGTGTAATGGTTTGCTATGTGGGATGGGGAAGAAGTTATATCGTTTTAAACATAGTCAAAAATGCAAACTCCCTAACCGACACCGGCAAAGTCGCTTCAGGGCTCATTAACCCCGTGACCCCGAGCCGGGGAGCTCCGGCAGGCTGCTGAGTCACGCTAACTAAAAGTAACAGAATCGGGCGAAAAGTGACGCCGCGTTGGAGGATTTGATCGAACTATGCTAAAATGGTAGCTTTTTGCCCCAGAAGGAAAATCTACGGATTTGACAAAGCTTTCTACTGTATGCACTGGGCATTACACTTGCAACTGATGTCTTGATTTTACTATCAGGGGATATTATATCAGAATGAATATGTCTTCAGTACCTTTACAATCCCATTCTGTCAGGTGATGTACTCTTCTCTGCTGCAATCATTTTAACTCTTTGCAACCACAAGGCTCACATAGTAAAGACTCTTGCCATCAAATGCATTTTGGGGGAAATCGGAAGAAACGTGGTGGTAAACATCGCCAATCGGCGAGATGAGGCGGCAAAGTGTTAAAATCTAGCCTTTTAAAATATAGAGCAAATAATTTTTTCACCTTGTTATGTTCTCTTTCAGTCAGATATCTTGATATAAAGGTCGTTCTTATATTCTTTGGTACAATCTAGTCATTTGAATTAATTTTGTATTTCTTTCAGGAGCTTTTAGTACAGTGTACAAGGCAAGGCTAAAGCATTACCCAGAGATTCAGGAGATGTTTGCTTTGAAGCACATTGTACCCACTAGTCACCCATCCAGGATAGAGAATGAATTAAGATGTCTGCTCAAGATTGGGTGAGTTGCTTGGTTATCTACCGCATACAACGAGGGACGTCCAGTAAGCAAGTACCATTTTTACATCTCTCTGAACTGGGTTAGGATATTCCCGATTTTGCACCACAGTGAGTTGATGTGTTCAAAACTGAACCAGAAAGAGCCCTCAGCTTCCATCTTGCCGTTGTAAAACATCTCACCCAGTTTTTTCCGCGCCTCTTTACACAGCCACATTTTGTATCAAATATCTTACACCCTTTTGAAGCTTCAACATGTCTTCCAAGATTTGAAAATTATGCTGACAGTGAAATTTGATCTGTTGTTCGTTTTCTGACTGGAAAGAACACGAAGCCTAGCGTCATTCAAAGGCAGATTTCTGAGGTGTATGGTGAAAATGCAATGGGCGAAAGCATTGTGTGGAAATGGGTTCGCATGTTCAAATGGGGGAGGAGAAAAATGTGCATGATGAGAAAATGTGCATGGTGAACCCAAGAGTGGGCATCCCTCTTTGGTCAATGACGATTTGATAAACAAAGTCTACGTTAAGGTAAAGGAAGACAGGCGTTTTACCCTTTCCTCACTCTCTTCAAACTTTCCTGAGATTTCAAGGTCGCTTCTGCATGAAATCGTCACTGACCATTTGGGTTATCGAAAGGTGTGCTCACGCTGGGTACCCAAGCAGCTGACACAAGCGCATGAGGATCAACAGGCTGCCAGTGCATTGACATTCTTGACACGTTACAATGACGAAGGAGATGACTTTCTTACTCATGTTGTGATGGGGGATGAGACCTGGTTACACCACTCTACGCCGGAGTTGAAGCAGCAGTCGATGCAGTGGAAGCATACGGATTCGCAGCCCCTGCCAAAAAGGTTCAAGCAGGCCGCGTCATTAAAAAAAGTCATGTGTACAGTGTTTTGGGACAGGAAAGTTCTTTTTGTAGAATTTTTGGGAAGTGGGATGACAATTAACTCTGATGTGTACTGCAACACACTTAAAAAACTGTGTGGAGTGCTTCAAAACAAGGCGCAGAATGCTTAGCTACAGCATTCTGCTTCACGACAATGCAACTCCTCACAAGTCTGCACAGACCCAACACCTGATCGCCTTCTTCGGATGGGAACAGTTGAAGCACCCATCGTACAGCCCAGACCTGGCCCCGAGTGACTTTCATCTGTTCCTGCATTTTAAAACGTTTTTGACCGAGCAGGACTTCGACTCGGATGCTGATCTCACAGGAGAGACTCGACATTGGCTGATGTCGCAGGCGGCAGCTTTCTGCGATGAGGGCATTCAGAAGCTGGTCCCACGCTACGACAAAGGCTTCAACAGTTCTGGTGACTACATAGAGAAGTAGTCATGTATGAGGTATTCAAAAATAAAGGGTTTTCATTGGGATAATTATTTCTTTTATAATTATTTTAAAACGGTACTTACTTTCTGGATGTCCCTGGTATAGTAAAAGGTGGGGGCCAAAGTTCTGCCCACAAAGAATTTTTTGTGACAATACCATTCGTTTTGGAAAAATGCACATTACACAGTTAACCAATTGTCCCGCATGGGGCTATTTTAAAAGCTTGATAAGCGCTGTGTAATTAAATCAGTTTCTGAAATAATTATCACATTGCCGTCGAAAACTGCATTTCTGCCATAATGGGACCAGAAGACTGGTTTTTGATTGACCCACATTTGATTCGCTATGAAATCCATGTTTTACATGCAGACGACATGGATGTTTTTAGATCTATCGGAACCTATTTGAAAGTGAAGGCCGAAAATGAAGATACAGATGGCGCATATATGCCAACAATGTTGTCTACACAGAGGTCTTACAGCAATGAATCGGGTACATTTTCTTGGGATTTCCTATCACTATATCACTGTTCGTAGAACGGGTCTGTATCTTATAATTCACTCTGAAGAGGCCATTTCAAATGCAGAGCATTTTGCATATGACTTTATGCAGTTGCGATCACCGTAAAACTTATTCCAAACTAAATCAGACTTACTGCAATTTGTTCCCCATAGGAATTTCAGGACGTCAAAATGCCAGAAAAATATTTTCCCATAGATACTTCCCAAAAAAATTCTAGCAAAACTAGGGTTTTTGTCATCATCAAGTGCTGTATCTAAAACAGATTTCAACAACCAAAATCTTTAGGTAAGTTGCACTTCAGACATCGGTAGCCTATTCTGTTTGTCTTGAGGGATGTAAATTTTGGAATGGATTTCTCACTACCCAACCAAAAATGTTTGTTTTTGTGAGTGTATAGTGGACGGTTTGTGGGTGCCACTGATAGGTCCTGCCTCTTCATTTTTGCCCTCTTGTTTTTTTCTTATTTTCACCCTGGAACTAAATAACGGTTGTTGTGTTGGTGTGCTTTTTTTTTTAAATTCGAAGTCAAAGTGTCAAAAAAATCTATACCAAACTTTCATTATCGAGAACATTATCATTATCAGCCTTTCTCACTCTGAACCAGAGTATAGGTAACCAACAAGAACTCTCCATTGAGTCGATAGTGCCGTAAAACACCTACTCAATCAATCAAAAAGAACTCTCCATCTACCTCTATCCTGGCCTATAGTCTACACTCCTGTCCTGCTGGATCCCATCAATTTTAGGTCCAAAACTTGTCTTTCCTCCAAGTCCTTTTAAAGTCTTCCTCTCTTTCTCTTCCCTTATTTATAGATTCCACCTTTAATCTAAATACCAAATAAACCATTAGTCAAATAACCTTATCAAAAATGTTTTCTTGCAGAGGACAAGACAATGTGATGGGCGTTAAGTTGTGCTTGAGGAACAAAGACCATGTGATTGTCGTCATGCCTCTTTTTTCACACGACAAATTCCAGGTGGGTCAGCTTTTTATGCTAAAAATAATCATTTTGTTTGAAAAAAGAACATTGGTTTTGGAGGCGGAGTGCTCTGGTCCTGACACTTAAGGCAAGTTCTTCATGACAGAGTTCATTCATTACCTGTTACCTCCTTATTAGAAAATAATGGTGGGTGGTTTGAGGGCACCACTGGTAAGTCCTACTTCTTTACCTTCCCTCTCTTGGTTCTGTCTGTCTTGTCTTGTTTTTTTCCCAGCACTAAATGATCATTGATTAGTGTGGCGATGTTTCTCTTTGCTCGAACAAACAAAATAAACCAAAAAAAATAAATGTTGGAACAAATACAATAAGAGGAGGTAGGACCTGTGAAGGTTATTGATTTTGAGGCTGAATATTCTGCTCCTGTCTCTCAGGGGCTGGAGTCAGCTGTGATGGTGTTAGAACAGTTACCCATTCGTCAAATGCGTGATCAGATTTGATCTGGGTCGGGTTATGAGCAGTGTACACTACATCAAATAGACTTGTTTTGCTACATCGAATTTGTCATGAATTCCTTTAAAGTCATTTGCATTTTGCACTCAATTTGTCCCCGTTGTTTTATGCAAGAAAAATTCTGAAATTATGCAAACTGAACCCAGAAATGGGAAATTATGTGATTCTGTTAATTTTAGCAAAGAATGATAAAGGAAAATAACCAGAAATTATGCAAAAAATTATCAAATTTTACTAAACTAAATTATGCGGGGTGCATAAAACAACGGGGACAGCTCAGTGTTGAGATCTGACTCCGCAATTTTCGTGTGACAGATTGAAATGTTCTGATTTGGTTCTGACCTTTTTTTCCATCAGCTGATAGTCTGTGGTTTTGAAAAGAGAACTGGTGAGAATTTGTTTGATTTTTTTTCATCTCCAGGATATCTTGCCTGTGGTGACAGTGTCTGAGGTGAGGGAGTACATGAGGAACTTGATGACTGCACTGAGGAGAGTTCATGAGTTTAACGTCATCCACAGGGATATCAAGCCGTCCAACTTTTTGTACAACAGACAGAAGAAGGAGTACGTATTATGTCTTTCTTCTTCTTCTTTTTTTCAGAAGGGGGGGGGGGGCTGAAACTGCTATCAAAATCAAACCCATGAGCTGAAGCTAACATTGTTGGGTTTTTTTTAGAAAATGTTTAATAAACTCTTGTGGTTTGTTATCAAAGGAATGTTACTTAATTCTTGAAGGTAGTTGGAGGGCCCAACAGGTAGGTCCTACTTTTTTTCTTTCCCTCTCATGTTTATGTCTGTCTTGCTTTTTTTAAATCTCTAAATGATCATTATTGTGCCAACATATCAGGCTTTGTACTCAAACAAACAATGTTACTTCTCTTCGTAAGCTCATGTGGTTGTTTGGAGGTCGTCACGTTTAAGTCCTATTTGGTAGCTTTCTGATTTTTCATTCTGTCCTTGTGTGGTTGTAGGGTACTCTGGTGTGGTTTGCTCCTTTTTTCCTATCAAACGTCTGTCGTCCTTATCTCTTCTCCATCTTTTTTCTGTTTGTTACTCCCTTGTAACACCTTAAATCTTCAGCACTTACATGACCTTGTGTCGCAAGTGCCATAAAACTTTTATGAAAAAAAAAGTCTGTCTTTTGTACTCTTTGATAGCAACCATTGTTGTGTCTATGCAGTTTTCTTTGATAAGATTCAATTGGTGTAAATTTTCAGGTATGCCTTGGTAGACTTTGGTCTTGCCTCTGGCACAATGCTCACCACTCCAAAGGACGAGGAAGGGTGCGAGTGGCAGAAACTTGAGCAAACAACCACTTCTGCGGCGGCGGCAAAAGGTATCAAACCTGCGGACACGCCATGCACTCGTGGGAAAGGCAGACAAGCAAAAGACGACCGGTCTCCACTGTCACCCTCAAAGAAGGCGGCAGGAGAGAGGAACAAGTCAAACATCGTTTCCACAGTGAAATCTGGATTGCAGTTGCAAAAGGTTTGTTCCGAACAAATTTTGTGATTAAGGACATCAAACTATATAGTTTTGTTCTGTGTTTGGCTATTTCTTTCACAGAAAAGTGTCTAATAAATTCATAAAAATGATTTACATTTCCTACTTATTCCCATTTTGAGCTGTTGGTTTTTTTTCCTTAAAGATGAAAAAGAACTTTTGTTTTACCCTCATTGTAACTCGTCGTTGAATCTAACAAAAAGAAAGTTAGATTTTCTCCTTTTTATAGATTTTTTCCCCCATTTGTTAATTTTTCTTTCCCTTATTCTTTCATTCTTTCCCTCTTAAAGGCTGGACCGTCATGGCAGAAGGGCCCTATGCATAAGCCATCTTTTCCACCACTGGTTCCCAATGGACTATGTGACTGTTACGGCAAGCCGGTTATTTGTCAGCTTTGCGTGGGAAGGTAAAAACTTGTTACGTTTTTTTTTTATTTGCCTGGTATAGCAAATTAAATCATAAATGGTCCCTTTGTCAGAGGATGGATGATGCCATTGGTGGTCTTTCTATAGTTTCAGTTTGTCTTACCTTTTTCCTCAGCACGTAATGACCATTATTGTGTCGACACACTTAACAAAAGGGTCTCTTTTGACTTTGATATGGCTCCTGTAAAAAATTCTAAGTACTGTTCAGCAAATTAAGGGATTGTGTTTGTATTGTATGTCTGATGTATGAAATGTAAAAATAGGAAGGAACTATTTTGCGAATGTTGAAATAATGATTCTTTAATATCACTATTATTTCCCCTTCTTGATTTGTCTCGTTTTGGGATTCACACGAGATTTCAGTGTAAACTAAACACCAATAAAATCAGTTCACCGGCAGATAGGCTAGAGAGCGGCTGTGTTTTGTCTTTCTTTCAAGTATTAATCTTTGTATAATGTTAGGCCATATGTAGCCGTCACAGTGTTGTTAAAAGAATAAAACTGCAAGGCGTGTCAATAGCAGGAATGAAGTGAGCCGAGTGTTTCTATTTAGACCTCTCCTTTCTTGCAGGCACAAAATCGAAACTTGAGGACTTTTGTCCATTATTTGATGGTCTTCAGAAAAAAAACCTTTGGTGCGATTTTATATTTCTAGACGCTTTTAAAAAAAGTTTTTTTTTTTGTAAGTGGGAGCATGAGATCGTAATATCTCTATTTGCAGGTATAGCACTTTTTAAAAAGTCACAACTTTACTGTTTCTCAATTCTCATTTCAAGGTCTCATAGACTTAATAATTATGGGTTCATTAAGTTGACCTTTTGATCAACAGATGTATTTTGAAGGAACTCAAATTTATTTGTGGTAAGTGGAGGATTCCACATGATGTTCCTATTGATCTGTTTGTGTGGTCTGTCCCGGTGCCCAGCCCAGTTAAATAAATTCACAGCTGTCTCAGACAATGACTTTTGTTACTTAGTTTGCTTTCTGCGAACTAGAGTGTCAGAAGTGTAGTGTTGAGTTGATAGTGCCGTAAAAACACCTACTCAAACCCAAACTCAAAGAAGTGTAGTGGTTTGTCTCTTCAACACAGCATGCAGATATTAGTTCAGCTCTCATGGGTTTTTTTTTAAAATTTGTTTTCGAGTATCTCTATCCGTCTGCTGAGATTTTTTATATATATATATCTTTTTGTATCTCTGTCTATCTTGTAGGTTGGCCATGACAGGCTGGGTAAAAGCAGTCCGTGACCAAATCTGTGTGGATAGTGCCCTGAAACACTTAAACAAATATACAAAAGCAGTCAGCCTTCAGAATGATCTAAACTGTGCTTAGTTAAAAAACATTATTTGAAAATTAAGTGTTATTTAGAAAGTTATTTTAAATTTAAATTTAAAGCCTATTTACACTCGATTTTTAGCATTTAAAAATTTTAAATAGAAATATTGACCAGTACCAAGCCGAGAAATGAACCATTGAGGAAAAAAACAACAACTTTTACTTGTTTCGCGAGCTCATATGATCTTATGCAGTTGCGAGTGCCGTAAAACCCCGTACTAAAACAAAACAAACTGTATTTGTGGGTGTAAAACATTACAATTTTTTTTTTCAGGAACAATCAGTTGGCCCCACGGGCTGGCACTGCAGGTTTCCGCGCTCCAGAAGTGTTGATGAAATCACCTGATCAAAGCACCGGTTAGTAGATAGTAGAGTAGTACGTCCTTCCTCTTTCACATGTCAAAAGTTACTGGTTGGAGGGCACCATATTTATACCCCTACTTCCTTATTCCCACTCTGTTGTTTTCACAAAGAGACCATCTTCTATAGAAATAAAGACTGAGATGACCACATTTCTCCTTGACAATGGCTGTCTGTCTCTGACATTTTTGACCGCCTTTACTTTTGAAAAAATTAGACTGTGTTTGCATAGTCCTTTCCTAGTTCATAATATAGCGTGAGAGGATAATTTCTATCGCCGGTGTCGTGAGCAATTCACTTAAGTCCACCTGGGTACTTTTTACAACAGAGACAAAAAAACCCATTTTTGTTGTGTTTTTCCTGTCAGGAATTATGAAAAGCAAGAAAATTGTAAGCCTTGACCATAGCCTCAAACTGCTTTTTGTGGGTGGTTGGCGGGTGCTCTTGTGCGGTTTGCTTCTTCTTTCTATCAAACATCTTTCTTCCTTATCCCCCTCCTTTTTTTGTGTATGTTACTTTCTTGTAACACCTCTAATCTTTGCGTCACTTATTTGACCTTATTGTGTTGCAAGTGCCGTAAAACACTTACTAAAACTAAAACTGCATTTTGATCATGTTGAAAGGTACATCTTCGATAGAGCTTTGGGAGGGTGTAAAACTAAAAAATTCTTAAAATTTGTACTTTACTTGATGGATTGCTTGCCACGGCAGCGATATTATGTCTTTGAATATTTGTTTTCTTTGGTTTCACTTTTTCATGGATGGTTGGGGGGGGGTGGTTTACTTTAGATCATATTGTTTATCAGGAACCTGTCTAAACAATCATGGAACCGTTCTTCATTGTTCATTTCTTGTGATATTTCTGCAGCTGTTGACATCTGGTCTGCCGGCGTGATCTTCCTGTCCATCCTAAGTGGACGCTATCCGTTTTTCCGCGCCCAGGACGACATGGGTTACTTGGCACAGATTGTCTCCCTGCTGGGGACAGAGGCCTGCGTGCAGGCTGCCAGCTCTTTTGGTATGTGGGACACAACGTTAGGGGGATGGCTGCTATAGGTTGTTTTTTTAAATTTTCACGACAGGTGCTCACTTATCAATTTTAGGGCATATGACGATCAGGAAGAGACAAATGCAGTTTCTAGGACACTTAAGTAGACATAAATTTTCTACTAGAACCCTTGGAAGGCCATATAATGGCACAAAAAGGGGCAGAGTAGATCTAGCATATGAATTGACTACTCTGGAACCCCATAGAAGGCCGTACAATGGCACAAAAAGGGGTAGAGTAGATTTAAGCATTTAGTTTTGATTCCCTGACGCGGTTATAGGTTAAAATTGTTTCTGTCTGGCGTACTTTTGTCCCTGCTTTAAATGATGGTAATTGTATCTATGTTCTTCTCTTTACTCAATCAAACGAATGTTGTTTCCTCCTTTGGCTTGTCCTGGTAAAGTGGTAGGTAAGTCCTACTTGTTAACTCTTTAAACCCCATCGCATGCTGGGAACGTCCGGCGGTAATAATCCTGTTCCCCATCGGGCGCTGTGGGAGTCCGACAGTAGTGACATCTGTTTCGTTTCATTTTGTGGTAGTTTTTGCTTGTTGTTCGAAACTATTTCCGATCCTAGTCTTTTAATAATGACTAAGCCTTTGTTTCCGCCATTTAGAAGTTGGAGGCAAGCTTTTGGGGTTGTAATGAGACATAGTGCACCAGGTTTAGGTGACTAGAAAAAACTCTGGGAAACAGTGGAAAAAACTCAGGGTTTAAAGAGTTAACATATGCTCTTGTTGTTTCTGTCTGTGTTTATCATGTTTTACCAGCACTAAATGACCATTAGTGTGTTGATGTGCTTCTCTTTACTCACTCAAACAATGAGCAGGGATGACACTTTTAAGTTTTTTTCCGATATTTCCGGTATTTTGATCCTGATCCGCTATTCTGTTATTGAGATCAAGATAGAATCTATAGTTGGGAAAAAAAAAACCCACACACACAACTTGCGCCAAATGTTCAAATAACGTAAATAATGCAAGTGAGAGGTAAGATTCTGTCATGTTTAGTACATCTAGTCTATTTTTCTTTAAATGTTTGTCATTTCTCTCTATGTACACCTTCTATTGCTTATGTTTGTTTGTCATTTCTCTCTATGTACACCCATTGCTTTTCAATCATATGTTAGTGAGACCGTGGCGCGTGGATTTTCATCTATTTTCAAAAAAGTTGAGTGGCATTCCTGAGTAAGCACAATGTCCTCTATTGTAATAGCTCATCCTGGTGGGGTTTTTTGTTCTTCCTTGCGGATACTCTGGTGTGGTTTTTGTCTTTCGTTCCTATCAAGCATCTATCGTTCTTATCTTTCCTCCATCTAATTTGTTTTTGTTGTTACTCTCTTGCAACACCTCTGTGGGTGGTTGGCAGGTGTTGTGGTGTGGTTTGCTCCTTCTTTCCTATCAAACATCTATCAACCCCCCAGGGCAGTGCCACTGACTGAAGTGTCTTTAGGCCATTCCCAAAGGGGGGACATTACTCGTTCAAGCATAGTAGAATTGTAAATGGGCTGACACATGTCACGCTCATAACTGTTCCTGATCCACAACAGGGAACTGCTGCTTTTTCCTTCCTGATCCTTACTATTGTCATTTTCCTCTACTTCTTTTGTATGTTTGTCACTCCCATGTGACCTGCTATTTTGGGGTGCCTTGATAGTCAAAGCAGACCTTGTGCTGTTGAAGCTAGAGAGGTGAGCAGTCTAAGTCTGATTCCATGCAAAGACTTCTCTGTTGACACCCACCCCTTGGCACTCATATGACCTTATGCAGTTGCGAGCGCCTTAAAACCCTCTACTATTAAAAACAAATATTTAAAAGTAAAACAGCTATCATCTTTATCTCGCCCCCCCCCCCCCCTCCTTTTTTGTTCTTGTTACTCCCTTGTAACACCCCTAATCTTCAGCTCTTATATGACCTTATTGTTTTGCAAGTGCCGTAAAACTCTTGCAAGACAAAAACAAACTCTTACTAAAACTAAAACAACACCTCAAATCTTCAGCACTTACATGACCTTAGTGCGTTGCAAGTGCTGTAAAACTAAAACTGTTGACTAAAACAATGTCCTCCGTCCTCCAGGTAAACTGTTGACCCTCAGTGAGCAGACCCCGACCGTTGACCTGCGATCAGCTTGTCTCAAACTGCGTGGCGTCCAGACGTCATCTCGCGCTGCATCCTCTGGAAGTCATGTGACCAGCGAGGTGAGGGATTCGTGGGCCGTCATCTCAGACACACCTTTCGATCTCCTTGAAAAGATGCTGGACCCGAACCCTAGCTCTCGAATCTCTGCGAAGGACGCTTTGCAGCATCCATTTTTTGCTGAAGAGGATGAAGGCAGTTCTTCTTGATGTTTGAGTCAACTTACATCACGTAAAAGCTAGAGTTTGTAGTTCTCTTGACATGTTGGAAACTGATTTTTCTTAACTCTTTCTCAAACAGTCACCATTGCGTCAATAATTTAAAATTTTGGCTTGTAGTTCATTCAAAATACGTTTAAGATTGGACAAAATTACTTTATAAATTGTTTGGAAATAGACCTTAGGTTTTATTGCAAATACGTATTAATTTATTGTAAATTCCATGGACTGTTGTTTTAAACCTTTGTTGCTAGATATTTTTTTTTCACATTGGGATGGAATTTTACCCATTGCTTCTTGCCCCGCCTTTGGCTGCGCACTGCTCCTTCCTGAGGCTGCCTCGAGCTAGCAGACGACATCTATCCTACTTCTGTTAAATGTCTGTCATTTCTTAGTTTAGTTTTAATAAGTGTTTTACGGCTCTTGCAACACAATAAGGTCATATAAGTGCCGAAGATTAGAGGTGTTACAAGGCAGTAACAAACACAAGAAAGGAGGAGGAGAGATCAGGACGATAGACATTTGATAGGAAAGAGGGAGCAAAGCATTCCATAGCACCCGCCAACCACCCACTGCCATTTCTAAAGCAATTGACCAATTTCTTTGAAATTTTCAGAGTTTGGTCTTGGAATATATTGTTCTTTTGGCCCAGGTTAAAGAATCATAAAAGTAAAAGCAGAAAACTTGAAAAAGAGACAGGGGATTGAGAATATGGATTGTGGAATTAGTGAAAGAGAAGATGAAACCTAGTGTGACATGTTAATTACTGGTTGCACAGCCATAAATAAAAGTCACTAGATCAGGGAAGACTCCCGTTTTCAAATTTATTAATCTTGAAGACAAATACGAATAATTTCTGAAGCAAAAAAATCATCAATGATGAACACCCCATGACAACAACACACCACACTGACACAAAACAACTGCATCCCTCACTGCCCCGAAGACAATAGAAGTAGGCACATTATAATGATACAATAGGACTAAGGCTAAGACTGAAATAAGATCAAACACACACACCTATATAATATAAATAGTTAGAATTATGAAAGGGACCAACTCACACCTAATCTGCCTGGTAAAGCCTCCTTATTTCTCTCTGATAGTAGGGCACAAATGGTAAATAGCCAGCAGGGCTCGACACAGAGTGGCCCTTTGCACGTGATGCACTGGTAGCGGGTCCCCTTTCTCCTGGTGCAGCAGTTCTTATTGTTGGTCTTCTTCTCATGTGTGGTGCAGCATCTGCAGTTTTTAGTTGGTCTTTGTTGGCGGTCAGTGGAATAGTCTCGAGCAAGAGTTCTAAGTTGCGGCCGTTCAGTCGGACAAGAGTCAAGAGTGCCACCATCTACATTTGTGTCTGAACGTTGGAGGGACTTCCTCAATCATCAGAGGGTCGATATAGCTTCAGGGTAAACTGCGACTTTTTCATCGGATGTTTTCCCGGGTTTTCAAATATGCTGGTACCTTGGCCATTTTTTTCCACCCTTTCAGTGCCTTGCGGTTGAAGGAGTAATATGCCAGATACTGATCCATCTGGTCCACACAGTTCATATACTTGTGGCACCCGTCAAACACATTCGGACGCTTGATGTCGGCTTGTGTCCATCTGTCTCTTTTACCGGTATTTACGAGTTGAGAAGTGTGGGCTGTAGATATCATCATGACGTAAGATAAGATGAAATAAGATTTATTACTTTATTATCCCAGAGGGAAATTTTTCTTGGCTGTACAGGACTGAAAAAACACATTCAGGTATATTTAAAAAGTTAAATAATATATTACTCTCAGTAAAATTCAATGAAAAGAAAAGAAGTAAAGCTGACAAAATATACACTCACATCAGATGCATCATTCAACCACATGCGGGAATTCAATTACAAGACCTTTGGAGTTATATAGATACAAACTCTAAAGAGCGACACACATCTAAGCTCATTCTGACATTAGCCTTATGCTAGATGGTAAAAATCTTCTTTTATATCTTTCTTTCTCTGTTTTTGGAGGTACATATCTGACGCTGCGTGATCTTACAATTTGCGTGGAAAGGGGTCGTTTATAATGCTTTCTATCTTTTTATACGTGTGGTGTTATACATTTCATCAATTTTAGTAAAATCATATACAGAGACCTTGCTGGCTTTCTTTATGGTTCTGTCAAATTTTTCGTTACCTTTCACCTTACAATTCCCAGCCCAGCAGCAAATACAAAATAGCACGCTTTCAATCATAGAATGGTATAAAAGGGACATAATCTTATCAACACGGAAATTTCTTAATTTCCTTAAAAGGAACATTCTTTGATTTACTTTTTTGTGCACAAGAGCAGCGTGGGGATGCCAGTCAAGTTTGTTGTCAATTGTTACACCAAGATACTTGGAAGAGCTTTCCACCTCCACCTCTTCATCTTTAATAAATAGTGGTTGCAATTGGTCTTTTTTTACTCTAAAGTCTATAATTAATTCCTTTGTCTTTTTTACATTCAGTTAAAGGAAGTGGTTATCACACCAATTTGTAAATACATTTACAGCGTCCCTCTATTCATTCTCATTTGTTGTTATAAGGCCTTGTAGAGTGGAGTCATCCTCAAGTTTTATTAGTTTGATGTTTTTGTTATCAAAACTACCGGTACAGTCGTTGGTGTAGAGCATGAACAAGACGGGGGGGTTACACAACCTTGTGGACGTACCGCTGTTCGTGAATATTAGGTCGGATTTTACACCATTTAGTTTTACATAATGAGGTCGATTGGTTAAGAACTCAAGAATCAGAGCTATAAATGTTCTTGTTTATGTTCTTGTTAATTAATTTTGAAACTATTATGTGGGGTTGGATTGTTGAAAGTGGACGAAAAAATCGGCAAAAAGTTTCCTGCAGTAATTTCTTGGTGTGTTTATGTGTTTGCAGATGTTATCTAAGAACACGAGAATGGCATCCTCTACGCCCCTCTACTCTTGGCACGATAGGTGAATTGCATGTTATCCTGTATGTCTTCTGTTGATTTCCTCAGTTGTTTCAGAACCAGTTTTTCTAAATATTTCATAAGGACTGATGTTAAGGCCACAGGTCTTAGGTCATTCAAATTTTGTATTGATTGTTTCTTTGGGACAGGAATTATTTCAGAGCATTTCCACGAGAGTGGTATTATTCGTTCTTCCAAAGACATATTATTATTGAATGTATCAGTATAAATTGGACATTACTGAGTAGAACACATTTTAATAATTTTACTTTTTACTCTGTCGGGTCCTCTCGCTTTGTGAGCTTTCAGACGATTAAACATGATCTTGACCTCATTAACATTAACCACAAAAATTTCTTCGCTCTTGTCATAGTCTTCGTCTGTGTTGTTGTCTGTGCGGTCTTTTTGGATCATCTCTTTGACCGTTGTAAGCTGGTCAGAGAAGTCATGGTCGTCAAAACGAGCGTAAAAAGAATTCAGTTTGTTTAAATACTGTCTTGGGTTCGTGTCTTGTGTAGGAATGTTTGCCCATCATGGTGTGTCCCCAACTATAGTTTTTAAACTTTGCCGCGTCATTTTTGTGTTGTTAGAAATGAAATGTTGTTCTAACTTTTCTTTGTAAGCATGGTTACACTCTCTCTATTTTTTTTCTTTACCATATTTGTTGTTTTTAATTTGTCTCGGACTTTCAGTTTGAATGCCTTCTTCTTATTTAATATTTCCTTTAACTCCTTGCTAACCCATGGCTTGTTATTTGGGTAGTAGATAACTTTTTTTTAGATGAATGTAGGTCTTCACAAAACCTGATGTAACCAGCGATAGTCTTACATAATTCATCTATTCCATTACATGAATCTTTAAAAACATTCCAATTCGTACATTCAAAGCAACCTCTCAGGCTGTCCCTGTTTTCTTCTCTCCAGATGGTGACAATTTTTTCATTGGCTTTAAAATTTTAATTTAGGTTTGTACTTCGGTAATAAAAGAGACATTTGTAGGCATTAGAAATATTTACATAACAATGGTCAATAGTTTTGTCCTCACGGGTTGGTACATTAACATATTGGTGGAAAGTGGGGAGGGCAGAAGTTAAGAGCATTTGTTAAAATCCCCACATTGGCTTGTGGTGGAATATAAACAATGTTGGTTGTTATCTTAGAAAATTCCCTCAGTAGATAGTACGGGCGTGTAACAACAGTTAGACATTCAATGTCAGGTGTACACAGTTGGAGTTTAACATGAATATTATTATTACGACTACACCACTTCTCGTTCACATACACACACACTCCTCCGCCTCTTTCTTTGTTAGAGTCTATCGTCCTGTCACATCGTACTAGATGGAATTCGCCAATGTCCACACTGTTGGTACAAATACTGTCTTTGAACCATGTCTCGCTAAAACAAATAAGCGAGGCCTCTCTATACTGGTGCTTAAACCTAACATTTGCACAGAGCTCATCCATTTTATTATTTAATGCCCTTGCATTACCAGTTCAGATTGTAGGTAAAAACGGTTTATAAGTTCTTCTCCTCACTCTGAAACGTACTCCTCCCTTCTCCGTTTACACATTCTCAATTCACGGGGTAGAACAACATTGGAAACACTGTTTCTGCCTGCCAGTCTTAGACATCCTATCCTGTCTGTCATGGTAACGCACAGCTATCATTTCATGTCCCTTAGGCGGACGAAATGCATACCTCTGTCAAGTTAGAATTCTTTGGCCGTAATGTCACAGAGAAAAAGAAAGATGTGGACAGTGTGGAAACGAAAGAAAATAAAAAGTATAGAAAACGTAGAGGGGAGGAAAGAGTCCTTTGTACCATGACTCCTCTCCCCACTCGGCCCCCCCAGGATGATTTTCTTCCTTCTGATGCTGAACGCCCTCTCAACTCATTCTGTGCCTCGTGCTTTTTTTCCAAAAGAATCATTGTTTGTCTTAGCTTACCTCGGTTTTCAACACGCTGCGATTGGGTTCGAGACTCGGGGATATTGTTCGAAGACAAGACGTTGTCCCTTTCATGGAGGTGGGGGTTGAGATAAACACAATGCGTCTGCCAGTTTTATATGACATAAGTCTACCTTTTCCATCTCTGTACTGCTCATCTTTAACTTTAATGTCGAGCATAATGCTGTGACAAACTCAGTAATGGCTGCGGACAGTGGAGCATTACCTAGCAGCATGTGTAAAGATTCTCGTTCATTTTCGAG